CGGGTAAAGGGGGGGGGAGAAAAAAGGGGGGGCGGGGCCCCCGCCGAGCCGTGCCGCGTCGGCGAACAATGGGGGAATGAGGGTGGAAAGAGTGCGGGGACGAGGAGGCCCCATGCGCGGTGCAGGGGCCCCGCTCGCCTGCCGCCCCAAGCTGCTGCGGGGCTGCCTGCAGCTGCCTGCTGCTGCCCGCGCAGGGGAGACAGCTGGGCACAGATCGGGGGGCACCCATGCAGGCACCCGGACCCTGGGGAGCAGCCGGGGGAGCGTGGCAGCAGAAGCGGCGGCGGGCCGGGGAGGGGGGGGCAGAGTCGCTGGCACAGCAGCTCCTGCCCGGGCTCAGCTCATCGCAGCTAATGGGATTGCCCGTGAGCTGGTAAAGCTCCTTAGCTCCTCCCTCCCCCCCCCGCCTCCACTTTCCCTCCCGGAGAGTGCCGGGGGGCTCGCCGGCCCCGCATCCCACCCTGCTCCCCCAGCCCCTTACCCAGGTACTTGGCTCGCTCCTCGCGCCGCTCCTTCGCCTGCTTGTGCCTCGCCTGGGCTTTTTGGGCATCTGCAGCAGGGAGACACCATCAGAGCAGTACCCGGCCCCCCCCAGCCCCAGAGCTGTGCCGGCACCAGCCGGGCACGGAGGCTTTGAGCAGCACCCATGGGGTGCCGGCATCACCAGAGCACCACTGGACCCCCCCCCCGGGCACCCACCTTGCTTGGGCCTGGGGCTGGCAGCAGGAGCCGGCGAGGCTGCAGCTGGCGTGGGGCGGTCACTGCGGGGCAGCACATCCTTCGAGGGTCCGGCTGTGCCACCCGGGGGGCTCTTGGCATCGGAGGGGGCCCCTTCACCAGCAGCTGGGGCCGGGGGTTCGCTCCCGCGGGGCAGCGTCTCTGCCGGGCAAGGGGCGGCAGCAGCATGGATGGGGACTGGCTGGCCAGCGGCGTGGGGCGATGCCTCTTCTTTGGGGTGCTCCGTCAGAGGGGGCTGGGGGGGTCCGGGGGGGGACTGGTCACACCAGGGGGAGATGCTCTCGGCCGAGGGGGCCGCAGCTGCAGGGATGGGGGAGACGGGCTGTCCTGACGGCGTTGCGGCTGGAGGGACAGGTCGGTCACGCTGTGGGGTGCTGCTCTTGGAGGGGGGTGTCACGGCTGGGGGGCAGATGGGCTGCCTGGAGGGGGTCACGGTTGCAGGGACGGGCGAGACGGTCTTTTCGGAGGGGGTGATGGCTGGAGGGACGGGTGAGACAGGCTGTCCGGAGGGGACGATGGCTGGAGAGATGGGTCGGTCGCGCTGCGGGGGGGTGCGCTCTCCTTGCAGGGCGTCCCCAGGTGAGGGGGGCGGTGAGGTGGGGGGGAACACCCTGTCTCCCATCGGGGATGGCGGCTTCCCTGCAACACAGGCAGAGCAGAACAGACGGTCACTCAGTGCAGGAGCCTGCGGCAGCCCCGTCCTCCCCAAACACAGCCCTCGGGGGGTGCAGCCCCATACCCCCCAAACACAGCCCTCGGGAACAAGGCTGCCCCTGGCTGCAGGGGCTGGGGACAGTCCCCTGGTCCCCCCCGGGAGAAGGCAGTGGGACCCCCACCCGAGCCCTGCCGCTGTTCCCATCTCGGGGAGCGCCTTCGCCACCCCAAGCCGGGTGCCAGGCGCCGGGTGCACAATGCACAGAGGGAACCGGCCGGTGCTCCGCCAGGCACCGCCGCCACAAAGCCGCCCTTCTTCCCCCGACAGCTGCCGCCCCGGCCCCGCTGCGGGGGGACGCGTGGACAGAGACCCCACGCGGGCACAGGGACCCACACGCTTCCCCGCCGCTCTTCCCGGAGGATGCAGGGCCGCTTCCGCCGGTGCTCGCGGCATGGCCGGAGGCAGGATGGGCGCGGGCCCCGCGGCCTGACGTCACCGCTCAGGCCCTACGTCCCCCAGCACCGCGCCATGCTGTGGCCAGGCCTGAGCACAGCCATGAACTCATGGCCAAGGAATGTACACGAGGCCGCTGCCGCCGCCACCAGCAAACAGCCCCCTCCTCGCGTGGCACCCGGCCGCTCGCTGCCCCGCCGTGGGGTGGACGGGGGGGCACGGTGCCTGCTCTGGGCACCCCAAGGGGAGCAGCCCGGGGAATCGCCCCCCATGTCCTGGCCGGCCCCAGGGAAGCCCAGCAGCTGGGGGACCCCGCTGCACGTCCCGGCACTGGGGACGGAGACGTGGTGCCAGCCACCCTGCGAAGCCACAGCACGTGCCCTCTGCACAGGGTGGATGTGCCAGGACTGCCTGCGGTGACCAGCAGCGGTCATCCCCGCCATCCCAGTTAATGAGCCCTTTGCAAATGCACCTCTGGGGTACATGCCCAGGACCACAGCCCCGACCCCCACGCAGCGGGCAGCACCATCGCTCCTGCCCAGGAATGATGCCCGACCTGCCCTGGTGCCGCGGGCACCCAGCTCCAGCCCCGTGGGCACCGCTGCAGTGCATGACCCCAGCTCTGGCAGCACGGCATGGTGGGGACACCAGCGACTGGCACCCACCGGCCTCGGCGAGTGGCTCTTGCCACGGGGTGATGTCACGCACTGGGCTCGGCCGTGTTTGCAGAGCTCTCCACAATCTTCAGCGAGGGGCAAAGTGTGGGCTCTGCAAACATGGGCTGGCGCCGCTCCTCCACCCTGCGCCAGAGCCCGCCGAGCCCAGGGGCAGCCCCAGACTGCCGGGGAAGGCACCGCCAGCCCCCCCTGCACTGTGGGCATGGGTGCACCCCAGGTCCCACGGTCCCCCAGCACCCACAGCGGGGTGCAGCACCCACAGCAGCACCTGCTTGCCCATGGAGGGGCTGGGGGTCCTGCTGCAGCCCGCCAGCAGGCCAGGGCTCACGCTAGCAGGGTTCACCCACCCTGGGATCCACGGGGGACACGGCCAGCTCCGGCCCCCCCGCAGACCCCGGCAGCCTTCCGGGTATTTTCTGCCACAGGAAGCCGGCCCATCCCCTGGCTTCGATCCTGCAAATCCCACATCCCCATCACTGCACCCTGCGAGGTGGCCATGATCCTGATGCACAGCCAGAAAGGTGCTGGGGCTGCAGCCGGGAGGGTCCCCTGCCCCGATTCCCTAGATCGGCACCCGCGGGCAGGGGGGCTCAGTGGCCCCGCACGCTCCAGCTCTGAGGGCGATACCCACGATGGCACCGTGTGTATTCCAGCTCGGAGGGGTGACCCTCTGGGAGAGCTGCGGTGACGCTGCTGGGTGCTGCCTGCAGGGCTGCCAGCCGAGCAAAAGTTTCAAGGGCAGGCTGACACCTCCGAGCAGATGGGAATACCTCCTGCAGCCTCGGACGTGTGGGGAGCGGTGCGGGGGGATGGCGGGTGCCTCCTGCCACCCCGTGGCGCCGGGCACGGAGCCCTGGGCGCAGCCCTGGGCAGGATTCTTCCAACCCCGCTGGCCAGAGGGACAGCAGCACCCGTGGCCAGGGCAGGGCTGCCAGGCACAGCCAAAACCCCAGCGTGCGGCCGGGACCAGCCCTGCCGCCATCTGTCCCTGTCGCTGCTCCAGCGCGGCAGCTGCCCTGAAACCCAACGCTGCCTGCGCCCAGGCGGCGCGGGCGTCCCCTCTCCCCCGGCCAGGGCATTCCGCAGGGGATTAGCTCCCCGGACCCCAGACACGCAGGCACGGCTCCCCTGCAGCCCCCAGCCCGGTGCTGCTGGCACCGAGACGGCACTGTGCCCGGCCACGGGCCACGGCCACAGGGCGAGGTGCTGCCCCTCAATGTCACGTCACCCAGCTCATCCCACCTCCTCCCGTGGGTCCATGTGGCACAGGCACCCGCACCAGCAAGCACCGCTGGCACCTCCAGCCCGGTACTGCCCGGTGCGACGTTGCTCCGTGGCCAGCACATGGCTGGGGATGCTCAGCCAGGCAGAGGCTAATTCCCCGGTGCCGTGAAGCGAGAGCACATCGAGGCCCTGCGGGGTGCTCCGGTCGGAAGGCAAGCAGCCCTCGTTAACCGTCCGCTGCGCATCCCCGCAGGGCGCTTCCCACGAGGGCGGGGGGGGCACCCGCGCCGCTTTAACCTCAGCTCCCCCCGGCCGCCATAGCCTCACGTTCCCGCTCTGCGGCACGGCCAGAGCCCACCACGGGTTGCTCCGCGTGCAGTACCTGCCCGGGGCTGGGGGCATCGGACGGAACCCACCCCTAATGCAGGGAGGAGAGGAGGGCAGGGCTGGCGGGCACGGCAGGGGCCCGTTGGTGGCAGCTGCAAAGCCACCCAAAGGGGCTGGGGTCACGGGGGGGGGCTGGCGGACCCCAGCCACCCTGGCCATTGCACAAGTCCCTGCGATGCCCGGGGACAGGGTCCTGAGGGGAACCCCAGCCCCGAGAGCCACCGCCGGCTCCCCGCAGCCCGTGGGGACACCCGTGTGCCCAATGCGCCCTTGGGCCCTTCCTGGGGGGGCTGTTTTCCAGCTGCCTCCCCCTGCCTCCATGGCAGCCCCATGGCCATGCCAGAGGAGGGAGAAGGAAGGGTGTCGGGGCTTCTCATTGCCAACAGGTCCCTGTGCTGAGCAGGGAGGCAGCCGTGGCCCCGAGGCCATGATTGCTCTGCGGGTGCTGGGTCCAGCAGGCAGAGCATCTGCCCGAGGCCACTGGCGTGCCATGGGGTGCATGGGAGGGTTGAAGCCCTGGGGGTGCTCAGAGCCCCGGCGCTGCTCCCAGTCCCACTCTGCCTCAGACGTGCTTCAGAGCCGAGCCCTGTCCTGTCCCACCCAGCTCCTGGGATTCCCCTCGCACCTGGATGACAGGGACAGCGAGCAAGCATCGCCGGCACAGCCCCGGCACGTCCCGGCCGCGGGCACAGCACTGACGCACACCCTCGGCCCCGGCTCGCAAGCATGGGCAGGGAGACGCAGGTGATGTGCAGATCAAGCACCAGCAGCACCGCACCACGGGGGTGGCCGGTGCCCCCCTGGCAGCCGCCGACAGCAATGACACCCCGTTCCCCGTGGAGAGGGGGGGTCCCTGCAGTGCTGCTGCCCACAGCCACCCGCACCCTGGCTCCAGGCAGCACGGGTGCTGTAGCCTAAGGCTGGCTCCTCTCCCCGCCGGCTTACAGCCAGCAAAACACAGCCGGCAGCGCCGGGGCAGGTCAGGCACCGTCCCGCGGCGGCCCACGCACTGCCCGGAGCTCCGCTTCAGGGACGGGCCTCCAGGGCCAGGCAGGAGCAGGGCAGGAGGGGCAGAGGCAGCAGCGCATCCAGGAGGGCACAGTCGGATGCCCACGGTGGGTGCTGGAGAGGAAGGGGCATGGCAGGGCATTGCCCACCCAGCTGGGGCCACGCTGCCTTTGCACCCGCTCCCGGCAGGGCTGGTTCGGGAGGGGGCTGCACCCACTGCCCAGCTAACCTCCCCAGCATGGAGGACCAGCCCCCCTTCCTGGGGTCCATATTCCTCCGAGGCACTGGGGGCACGGGGGCAGCCATGGGGGAACCGCGCCAGCCCCTGGCAGAGGCCGCCGAGCTCCTGCGGCTCAGCAGCCAGCCGGTGGTGACGTGCCAGGCCGAAGAGAAGAGCAGCAAGGGGAACTTGGGAGATGGGATCTCGTGGCCAGAGCGGGGCCAGAGCCGGGGAGTTTCCCGGGTTTAAAATACATGTGGAGGAAAAAGCCTGAGCTGCTGCCGTGCCCCAGCACCCCCACGGCAAACTTTCCGTTTGGCTGCGGTCGCGGCACAGCCCCCAACAGACCGAGGGCAGGGGCAGGCAGCACCTGCCTGCCATCCATCTGGGCAGCGCCAGCAGCAGTGACAGGAGGTGCCCTCGTCCTTGGGGTGACCCGTGCGGAGCCGCCAGCGCCGAGGGCAGCCGGCCCAGCCGTGCTCCCGAAAACCTGTCTGCTAGCATCACGCTGGGAAAACAGAAGCCTGGCTCAAAGGCAGGGCAGGGGGCTCTGTGCCTGCTGGGATCCAGCCTCTCAGGGAGCAGGTGCCCAGCACCTCCGAAAAATGGGTCCTGAGCCTCACAACGCGGATGCGGGCACCTACCAGGGCTGGGGCCGTGCGGGATCCAGCTCCGCTCCCAGCAGACTGCCTGTGCTGCTGCCTGTCCCTGCTCAGAGCCCTTCGACAAGCAAGAGCTGCGCTAACTATTTTGGACATGGCACCACGGGACTGTCACATCACCGCTCCGCACGTCGCATCACGTTGCTCTGACGGTTTCGCAGCAGCAGCTCTGCTGGCGTCCCCGCACTGGGAGAGCTCCCGAGCTGCCTGCTCCCAAACACAGGCGCTGGCTGGCAACCAGTTCGCCCTGCACCCTCCCTCTCCGCCGTGCCGGAGGGAGAAGGGCTGGAGAAGCCAAGGCAAACCCAGATAAGAACAAACCCCTGCCTGCTCCCT